GGTGCCCCCGTTGCGCTCTTCCGGGCTGTCGGGTTCGGCGTAGACCGAGGGGGATCGACGGAATGAAACGGGTGGGTTGACGTGACGAAGACACGATATGCTACTAAGATTAATAGAAACCTCGAACTTCTCGTAACCGTACTATTAGCTATACTAGTTTCTGGAAAGGGATCATGCAGCCAGCGGCAATCGTAAGTCAAATTTCCAGCCGCAGCAAATCGCCGTTCTGCTATGCTGGCTTAGGGTAAGAAATCTCGAGGTAAAAGAAATACTCGCGTGCTAAGAAATCTTGACGAATCGCTTTCTTTTTCCAGTGGAAAGTTCAGCAGAACGCACTTGTGCGCTGACGAAAAGAAGTCCTTGAGATCCTCGAGCCACCATTGGCGCTTAGGTGGCATAGATAGCACGAATCGTGAGCAGCGGATGAGCTACTACTGTTGATTCAAGGAGCTCGATGGACGCAACAGGCAGATACGGCCAAAAGAACCGGGTGGGGAAAGAAACATTCGCGCGGGTTTCATCTGCCAGCTTTGCGGAGGAAACGCGGCTGACCAGGTTACATCTGCCGCGACAACTGGATCTGGATCTAAGCGCGTTACACGCGGCATAACGGCGAAACGCACATCGTACGCAGCCATTTTGCCATATTGTATACAGCCGCTGTTGCTCCCGCTCAACATCCAGCCTAGATAGATGTTGGCCGTGCAACGACGTTTCCAGTGGAACCATGGTTTGCTTAGCACCCAGTAAGGGAGGCTGTATCGTGAAAAGAAAAGAAAATCGTGAACAGTCAACCATAAATCAATCTTGGAACATGACCAAGCTGAATCACATGCTCCTAACAAAGCTTTCTTAGCTGGGTCGGAGCTGCTTCATGTGCCTTGCAGATCTAGCCAAGCACACGGGGTGGGTGCGTAAAGCCGCGAGACGCGGAGACTCGATTTCATAACAGCAAGGTAGGACGCAATGAAGTGTCAATCTCGGGGCTTAGAGCTAGTTCTGTAGGCTTCAAGTACAATAAGCAGGATTGCAGTGCGGTGACGGATAGATTTCGGCCCTCGTCCCTCCATCTCGTCCCGCATGCACCTACAGTCGCTCCCGCGTGTTCCATCGGTACAGCACGGCACATGCTGTTCTGTGACTTCTGATTACGCTTGTGTCACTTCTGAGAACCTCGGAAGTGACACAAGCACGGCACTGCACATGATGCTGACATTCCGTGTCACAAGCACGCTCGATTTAGCCTCCGTCAAATGGGCAAACGACATTACAATTGCAAGAGGAACGCGGAGCAGCGTGACAGAAGAGCCAAGCCAAGCATGATGCAGGGGAAAGTATATCCCCGCTCCTGACTTTCAGATTTCTCTCATATTCAGCCCTAGGTTTACTCAAAAAGCACCACTTTGAAAGCTATGATTGAGCAGACGGTGATAGATGAGCGAGCAATCAGCGGATGGTGGGATGGGGAAGGTGCTTGCAGATAAGACGTGTCACGGAAGAGAGAGAGAGAGAAAGAGGGTCCAGGAAAGTGGTGGGTGAAATGGGGGGAGATGGGGAAACCGAAGAAAGGGGGAGGGAATGTTCGGGGGATGGGGTGGGAGGGGAATGGAGGGTGAGGGGGAGGTGCAGGTGGGAAGGTGGGAGGGGACTGGCGGGTATGCCACGCGCGCAGGTTGCGGCGGGACTCCAGCTGGCATGACAGAAATAGTGAGGGGAAAGGGGAGGGAGATGGTGGGGAAGGGCTTACTGGGACTTGGGGAGGAGGGCGGAAGGAAGAGGGAGATGGGAAATCGGAGGTGACAGGGCCGTTACACCTTGTTCTCGATAATTGCACACCCCTTAATTGTACACCCTGGGGGTACATACCCTGAGTGCAACATTTTCGCAGGGTAGTTCACGGCGCATGTCAAATTATCTGGGGGAATTTCCCGCACCATTGTCGCGAATTGCGGAAAGCAATGAGAATTCCAAGTCACCTATCCCCTTACTCGAAGCGCCTACCCCTTCGGGGGCCTGGTTTCCTCCAGGGATCTCCTTAAAGCTTAAAAAAAAAAAAAAGGCACCTATCCTCCCTTCCTTCTCACTCGAAATACGTTGCACAAGTTTCCAGAGATTGCACCTTGGTGATGTCGATTGGTAGTCCATGAAATTCTAGATGTCCGTCGTTTCGAGCCAGAATAGGTTTGGGGTATCTATAAATCAAAGAGTAGGGGGTGTGTCATAATCGAGAAAAAAGTATAGCAGTGTCAACCCGAAGCGCGCGGAATTGGAGTGTCAGCACTGTAGCTTCAGTATCAAATCGAAGCACAGCAGGGAGTCCTACGACGCAACCTTATTGGTTGGGCACAATATTTTGTACACAAACGACTTCTTGCACGAACTTGCAGTCGCACGAAGTTGAACAACCGTCTATTGGGCAGGTGTGGGTCGTCAGAATTCTCGATGCCACCAGTCGGGTTGGCTGAATGGTGCTGTTCTTTTGGGGAACAACATCATCTACATGCAGATTATGCCGGTGCGATTTGCGAATGTATGCAACCAACGGCCGTCAGGAAAGGTGCTGCAGAACCGTTAACTGCCTGCGGTCAGAAAAAAAATAATCCCATCTGGATGACATGCGATTGGGGAGCGTCAACCCTAAACACGGGTAACCCTGTGGTTTTTCCGCCGGGCCGACAGGTTTCCTCCGATTCCGTCAATTGCATACAATCGCAAACCCGCACTGGCATAATCTGAATGCCAGTGGAATTGACCAGTTCATTTGGCCAAAAATGGCCTTCGCGGATTCTTCCGTCCGCACCAGTGGTGTGTCGGTTCAGGTTGGGCATTATCCGAAGCTGGGCGCATCAAGAAACCCGAGAAACCCTGCAGAACAGCACTTTTGTGACACTGTACCATAACCGCCCGTTTGTTCCACGCCATTTCCTCGCCAGGGAAGTGGTCCGCACCACTGGTGTGGCCTCTCGAGGTAGAATTTCCTCCGCACCGCTAGTGCGGGGCAGAAAGATCAGCCCAATTCTTTGTAAAATTGAACGATCAGAAATTCTTGCTCTTGGTAAACTCGAACGCCCAACAATTGACCGCGTTCAAATTTCAAGAAAATCTTCTCACACCAATGTGGGAGGAGGTACGAAGTGGGGAAGAGTTACTCTCGGTTCTCATATTGCCAGACCGTGTTCAAAAGGGCAGACCCGAGTTTGGCTGAGCTGTTCAAACAGGAAGTTTACCTCGGTTAAAACTGAACCTTCATGTGTTGCCAATTCAACCAAAAAGGCATCTGAAGTCATTGCGAAATTTACCAATCCACCAATGGTGCGGCGACGAGAACTCCAGCAGAACAGCGCCAACGGTTCATTAAATTTCCGCATAGCTGGATGTCCGACGAATTTTATTGGCAAGCAGTTCGGTAAAGGTAAAGGAGGGGGGAAAACCCCCTTTGGGTTACCCCCGGCTGTCGATCGTAATCCGCCTACCCACTTGTTTACACGCCTCGCTGGGTATCGAGGTAAAGATATATCCACTCCCAGATGAGCAGTGCGAAACCCCCTTCTGGGGGGCTGGCGAAACTCGCCGACACTGGGGTTTGATCCCGCAACCTCATCATTCGGAAGTCCCATCTTACTTGACTGGGCCACTTCAAGATGGCTGGCAGTTCGGTGTTGTTGAAACCCTGCCAACAATGTTTTCAAGTGTCAAAACCACAACTTGACACTCAAGTGCTTGACATGTCATCCCCGCGGACACGACCTAAGAACCTCAGCTGCCTGAAAACTTGACCTGATTCTCACGGACAAAGGCCCAAACAAGCCCTGAACGGGCACGAACTTGTGTGGAATCCATTACTTCAAATCCGGGCTGTGAATCTTCTCCGGTACAACTATTACTTCTTAGAATGCACACAACATATGATTCGCAACAGGTCACCTAATAAACACCCAAGAACCGCAACTGAGTGGAGCATACCGAACTTGCAAATAAGCAAAGGCTGTGGCAAGCACACTTATCCTGAAGTGGCTCAGTCAAGTAAGATGGGACTTCCGAAGGATGAGGTTCCGGGACCAAACCCTAGTGCCGGCGAGTTCTGTCAACCAGGGCCCTTGCTAGGATTTAGGCCCGTCTGAACCTCCCCCCCAAAAAAATCGTTTCGTCTGACAGTCAGACGGGCAAAAAAAAAATGTATGATCTTTCAGACGAATGTTTAAGCTATGTCTGAATTTTGAGACGATTTTTTTTTCATGGTCTGATTGAGCGAACAATACACTAGTACTGTTGTATTTGTGAAACGCGAGGGAAGAGGGGTGCGAAAGTTCTTGATGGGAAGGAGGCTGGGCTGAGAGAGGTGCAGGGGACTCGGAATGGGAGGGAAAGGAGTGATGAACCAAGGCTGGGTAGAGGAGCGAGGATTGGGGTGGTGGCTGGTGGCGAGGGACTTGTTGGGGGTGCTGGGCCGGAGAGACGCGAGAGAGAGTTGAGGGAGCAGGGGAGAAGGAGAAAGGGGAGGAGGGGGAGGGGGGGGAGAGGGGGAGAGAGCGGGGAAGGGGGCTACAAACGGTACTTTTGCAATCAGATGAAAACATACTCGATGTCTGAAATATCATACGGATTATAATACGTGGTCCTTTTTTTTCAGATGAAATAAAAACGCCCGTCTTATGGATCAGATGAAATAAAATTGTTAGTCTTACAAATCAGATGAAACGAAAAAATCAGGTCTGATTTTCATACCATCAGACCAATTTGGTCTGATAACGAGAGCCCTGCTGTCATCCCCCCCAGAAGGGGGTTTCACACTGCTCATCTGGGAGTAGATATTCCTTATCTTGAGACCCAGCGAGGCGTGTAAATAAGTGGGTAGGTAGATTACGATCGACAACTGGGGTAATACCAAAGGGGGTTTCCCCTAGAATCTTTACCTCCTGTGGCAAGCACCATCAAGAACTGAATGATGGTTTTCACTAAGGATGGTTGTGGTACATAAACCTAACCCTAGGAGCTTTACC